TCCCTCTACATTCCCCCCTGGAAATTGAACTACACAAATAATGAAGATTTTAAGTCTTGATTAGTGCAGCAGAAAACATTAACTACGTTGGATATACAGTAGTTCTTTACTAAAGTTAGTGAGTAATGAAGGATACTCTTAACCCAAATGTAGATGATTAGAGATGTCTCATTGACTACTTCGATTAATTTTATCTGGACTATAATAGAAGAACAAATGATGACTTGTAAAAATAAGCTTTTTTTGTTTTTTTCATTATTCAGTTGGATAAATTTTCGGTATTATTTTTAGGGTAGTCCCAATTGATCTTCTTATTGGATATCTAAGCTATTAAAAACAATTTTTTTTTATAAAAGTAGGAGATATAGGCCTCGATTGGTATGAATTATAGCAGAGCAGTAGCATGAAACAGCATTAACATTAGCAGTATGCTGCAAGAGCAGTATGCTCTGATTTATATATATAAGTGATTGGCAGAGCTATGAATAACTATATATAAAATTAAATAAATGATTTCATTATATTTATTTATATGTATTCTAATACATTATATATATACAAGTCATAAGTTATAACAACATTTTTATTCAATTTTTTTTTTATTAAATCATTATTTTACTATAATACTATTTAACAAATAGAAAAATAAACTAATGTTAATATTAGGTTTTAGTTTTAATATAAATATATTTATAAAATTATAACATAATTTTTTAATAATATTTTCAAATTTAAATTATATTTAACTAAATTTTATTGTTTTATTTTGATATTATTTTAAAATAATAAAACCAATAAAATAATGATAAATATTAAATAAAATAAATAAAAGTTAATATAATTTATTTTTGATCTTATATATAAAAAGATTAGTTATTTAATATTTTTTAATAATAGCATAGGTCAAAACTCAAGAAAATTTCTATTTAGGAGCATTGATGGTAGGAGCATTTAGAAAGCATTAGCATTTACTAAACGCTATGCTTAATGTTTTGTCTACCAATCAAGTTTTAATGATAAAGAGCATGATGCTCATTCAAATACTTTGCCAATCAAGGCCATAGAGAGTCTCTACAAGTATATTCGGTTCTAAATTTTTTTAGAAACTTATTGACACTTGTAATTATTTTAGTGGTTCAACGTGTTTTTTACTAATTTAATATTTAAATAAACAATTAAACTAAATGAAAACTATTAAAATAATCTAAATTAGAAACCAAATGAATTTTTTGTCATTGAAGATGCTCTAAAAAGATATAAGGATGAAGTGTTCTATTCATTGCAAATTTGTTGGTAATTCGATTGTCAAAATTTACCGCTATTAAATTTATTTTCATCTGTTTAGTAGTGCTTTAAAAACTTGTTGACATCTTTTTAGTAGAACGAGATGAACAATAGTAATCCATATACATTTTTCATTCGAAAATTAAAGAAATCAACTAAGGAAAATTTTTAAAAATGCCACATTTGAATTAGATATTTATAAGCTTGCCATACGCGCCTGTTTATTTTTATTTATGCCACTTTTCATAAACCAAAAATCTATATTGCCTTTGGATAAAAAACGTTGAATCAGACTCTCATTCTATCTAGTCTCTCTCGGGATAATTTGGATAAATTTGACAATTTGTTCTTTGTAATTTTTTTGGGTAATTTGGTTAGTTCGGATACTCTTAGGAATATTCGGATAGTTGGGACAAAAGTAACCAGTTAAGGTATGTCATTTCAATTTTTATTGATTTTTTAAAATGAGTTTCCGGGTA